TAGAAGTTTAATTAAATATTTGATTTTGTTATTGACAAACTTTGTCATTATTTAATTCGGTGCACGCTTAAAGTCCAGGCCTGGCACACTAACGCGAATCCGCGTAAAGTACCCGTTAGGGAACGGCTATTTCCAGCACACAGTAGTGTCGATAATCGTTGGAAAGTCGGAAAAATAATATAGTACTTTACAAGTGTTGTTCTTGTTTTCCTTTGAAGTTGCTTGAGATCTGTGTGAGTCCAATGTATAATGCCAAAAGAATACATGAGTACTGGGATGACATGTGTTTATTGCTTTAACTGTGAGTTTTACATTTAACTGTGTTTTGAGAATGGCATTTAACCTACTTTGGTATTCTTTAATTAATCTTTGCTTTATTTGTGTATGTTCTGTTAGTTTGGCCTGTTGGAATCCTAAATACTTGTAGAACTTGCTCTCTTCCATGGATTCAATAATGTCTCCATTTCCAAGTGCAAAATCTTTCTTTGGGATTCCTTTTTCTATGTGAAGGTTTTTGCATTTGTCTAAGCCAAACTCCATTTGTATGTCCTTAGTGTATGAGTGTGTGATTTGTAGGAGTTGATGAAGTTGTTTCTGTGTGGATGCATAAAGTTTTATGTCGTCCATGTACATGAGATGTGACAGCATAAACTGTGTTGTTTTTTTGTGTCTGATATTGTAGCCATATTGTGTGTTGTTTAACATGTTGCATAATGGGTTCAGGGCTAGGTAGAACCAGAGAGGACTCAAGGAATCTCCTTGAAAAATTCCTCACCTAATGAATATTTCGTTTTACTAATCCTGAGATGTAGTGTTGTTCTCCAGTGCTGTATAGTGTTTTTGAAGAATGCAATGAGTGATGGATGTATTTTGTACATGTGTAGAATATGTAGCAGCCAACTGTGTGGAACACTGTCGAATGCTTTTCTGTAGTCTATATATGCCATGTGTATGTTTCTGTGTTGTTTGTGTGCTTGCCATAGAATGACTGAATCTGAGTAACTGTTTTTTGCATCCCCTGTGATTTCTATGGCAACCTTTTTGTTGTTCTGTAAGAATGTTGTGTTCTTCAACATGTTTGTATATTTTGTTTGTGATACAGGATGTCAATAATTTGTAGAGTGTTGGAAGACATGAAATTGATCTGTATTGTCTGAGGTCTGTGGTTTTGTTGTTTTTAGGTTTCATGTAGGTGATGCCCTGAGTAAGAAATTTTGGCATGTCTTGTGGGTTGATAATGATGTGTGTTAGATGATTAGCTAGTTCCAGATGCAGTGATGTAAATTTTCTGTACCAGAAATTGTGAATGTTGTCTTCCAGTTGTGTGTTCTGTTAATGGCGTAGCGGATGTCATGTACGTTTATTTCAGCACAGGGCATAGTTGGTATGTTGTGCAAGTTTCCGTTTTCCTCCTCGATTCAGCCTGCATCAGCATTGTGCATAACAGCATTGAACCAAAGAGAAGACCAATAAGTTGTAAGTTCTTCTTCTGTTGGTGTGCCACTGTCCTGTGTATCAATGTTTGTTTTGGTACTGATTTGTCTGTAGAAAAGTTTTTCATTGTTTGTGAATAATTTGTTGTTTTCATAGTGTACATGTTTTGTATTGTTTGAGTCTACGTGCTTTGGCTGCGAGTTTTTGTTTTAGTGTATCAATGTATTCTGTAATGTGTGTGTTGTGATATTCATGTTTTGTGTGTGTTTTGATTTTCTCGAAAATGTTTTTGAGTTGTTTCTTTAATTTAGGTGTTATGTTG